AAACCTTTATCACCTCTTGATCCTTTTCTGTTATACAAGGAAAGGCCTTAGCCCAGTTTTTGAAAGTATCTACCCAGACCAATAAGTACTGGAGTCCCTTACTCTTTAGCGTATGAGTAAAATCAAATTGCCATTCTTCTCCAGGGTATTTACCATGTCTCTGCCTATCTGGAGGGACTATCGTCCAGTTGAGAGGATTGTTATTTTGGCAAAGTCTTAACTATCTGTTGTATTTTCTGAAAGAGTCCTTTTCCCATGAATAACTTTGAGGCCATTTTGTGGGCCTTGTCTCTCCCTAAGTGAAAAGTTCGATGTAAAGACAATAGTTCTCCATTAGCTATTGCTAGGAAAGAACAATTTACCATCATCTGATTGTATCCATCCCAATGGGAGGAATTGGCATCCATGGGAAAGCGCCCACTTGCCTTCTGACTGAGAATATTTGGGTCGAATATGACAGAGTGACCCTTCCCAGATCAGGGGGGTGGTCTGAAGGGGGGCTCAAGCAGCTTCTTTTGCAGCTACATCAACCAGTTGATTACCTTGAGATACTTTGTCAACTCCCTTTTTGTGTCCTCTGCAGTGAATTACTGCCACTTTGGAGAGGCTATAGACAGATGATAAAAGTTTGTCTATCTCTTTATGATATTTTATGGTGTTACAGAAGGAATTTACAAGTGACACCCAGAGAGGCAGCAGAATGGAAGTAAAATAACAAATTTACTCATCAACAAGGGTCGATCACACATAAACAGTGCCTGAATCGATTGACCCACTGGGTTACTACTCCTTTTATGGGGTTTTACAGCTGTAACTTCATTTCGGTGGTTACATTTCATTCTCATAGTTCAAATCACAGTCACAGTATAGTTAACTTTCAACCCAGATATAATTCTTTGTAGCTAGGGGAGTTTACCTTTAAGATTCACCTAGTTATCTATCCTAGTTCATAGGAAGGGGGTTGTTCAGGGTCAATAAAGCAAATGTTAGCAATGGGTTCTTTCATCTTGACACTTTTATGTTCATGTGGCTCCAGTCTCTTCGGAGTTCAAGACCTTTGTGCCCTGTTATCTAAGGATAAGACCAAATTCCTTATTCAGCAGTTAGTGCCTCCAGTGTCTTGTTAGTTCTGAGCTAAACAAAACAAACTGCTGTTAGAAACAGCAGAAGCCATTCTACATTATGACACTTTATAGGTTTTTGCTATTTATAAAGTTTTCCCTATCAATGGGAGACCCATTGGCTGTTGGATTATTCCTTTCCTTCCATGTGGCTGCATGTTTATGCGTTACTAGGAAAGCATACTTTGAATCAGGGTAAATATTGACTTTGTGTCCTTTACTTAGTTGTAAAGCTCTGGTTAGGGCTATGAATGAGTTCTACTAGTCCCAAGTGCAAGTGGTGAACTTTCACGTATCTGATGTAAAGACACTCTTTCTTGTTCCATTTTCTAGGAAAGAACTGTCATCACAGAAAAGTATCAACTCAGGGTTAGTAAGGGGAGTGTCTAACAAGTATGTATGAAGAACTACTTGTTCACAGTCGTGTCTGTCAGTCTCAATTTCCTCCTTTTCTGATAGAAAAGTGGCAGGGTTTAAGGTGGAGCATGTCCTTATTTGAATGGGCTAGTCCATCTAGAAGTAGAACCTTGGATTTGAGAAGTCAGTTGTCTGATAACCATAGGCTCCCTTTGGATGAAAGAAGTCCTGTCACATTGTGAGGTATATATACAGTGGGATCTTTGCCTAAAATCAGCTTAGATGCCTCTCGTATAAGAGCTACATTGCCATAGCTCTAAGGCATGCAGCCCATCCCTTTGCTGCAATGTCTAATTCATGACTTAGAAACCCTACATGTTGTTGTGCAGATCTTCACTCCTGTGTCCCAAAGCCATGCCCCACCTTTCCTGACACACAGATTGACGCTGTCCTTTCAGTGAACTCAGTGGGGCATTTAGAAGTGCTTAGTCAACAGGAGCCAGGGATAGAAGTTTTACCAGTGCCGCTTGTGAGCAATCTAAGAAGACGGAAGAGTTTTCTTTTTCCTCCTGTTTAATACTTGGTATTTCAAATAACTGAAGGTCTGGTTCTTTTCCTTCTTAGATGATGTATGCTATTCCAATCTCTTGTCTGGATAGTAGGCCAGTAGGGATCTTGTGAAGGGATTGCTTGGGATCCGGTAGGAGTCAACTGTTCCCCAGGCTGCCTGTCTTCTGGCTTTCTAAAATTAACTATATGCAGTGCATCTCAAAATGTACTCTATAGCCATACCACCCTCAATGTACCCAATCTCATCCAAGTGCAATGGCAATTTATTAAACTATTTGTCTCTCACTAGCAGTAAATATTTGATTTAAAAGTAATATCACATCTTTCTATTCTAGCTCATAGTCCCCTAAAGACATAAATGTGCTGAAAATCTGAAAACTTTCCGGGGTCTTGTTTGATCTGCTTGAGGTCACTGAGAGAAAAGGACATGTGCACATGAGTATGTCTGAACTTGCTGTTTACTTCTTATAAAGGATATTGTCCTTGAGGGGCTTGAACAAAATTGGCTACAGGTGGATATATTCCTTTAGATGCTCTAACTATAGCTGGCTTACAAGCCTCACCCTCCAACTCCAAAGGTGGGGGGAGGAACCTCAGACTCCAAAGGGAAAGAAAGAGTGGATGGGGCTTTGATTAAAGTTGCCTTGGAAACTTCACCATCAGATATAGTAATTCTAGGTGAGGTTTTGATTGGGGTTACCTTGGAAACCTTAATCTCAGGGTGCAAAAGACTAGGATGGGAAACCTCAGACTCAGTGATAAGTACCAGAGGTGTCTGCTTTTCCTGTGGCTTACATTTACATTTTGAACACAAATAAGGATTATCTCTTAATGCAAATAATATTGGAACATAAGGCTATTTTGACCATTTTCCCTCTTTTTTTACAGTACAATTTTAGTTGTGAAATAGCATCATAGTCAGTACTTCCCTCTGCATTCCATTTTGGCTCTAGAGGATGTACAAGAATGTTAAGCTGCTTTTCCTCAAGATTTGGGGTTTGAAACTTCTCCAGTGTTTAAAAATGCATTCCAAAGGAATAAGGGATTTTGACATTGAGCTCCCCGTTTCTGAAACAAGAGAAAGAATTGTCATTCCTTTAATTTCTACTTGATTCCTATATTCTGAAGGCATCCACCAAGTTTACTCAACTCCAGGATAGGTGTCTGCCATCTGGAGAGAACCTAGCAGATAAACCAGACTGGATTATCCACCCTTTTACTTTTTATCCATGCCCAGCTTCCTATAAGTATTTTTTAAAGCACAAATTACAGTTGATTTCAGACATAAGGACCATGTTCTAAAGAAGGAAATATTGCAAGAGATCTAAACCATTGCTTTCTAATTCTTTCACAGAGAATAGGGAAGATAGATCAAAGGGTAGCACTTTTCATCCTGCAAAAGAGATCACTTCTACAGATAGGCAGAGAGAAGCAAATGGCTCAGAGGAGTTTTTCCCATGAAAAATCCTCCAAGGCACCTGTTATCTACCCAATCACCTAGGCAACCTTCCTCCGTGGCAAGACAAGGCTGCACACCATTTAAAGTCCATTCTAAGTCTCTGAAGCTTACAAGTTAAACTTATACCCATCACCTAGCAACTATAGACACACTTACCAGTTTTCTACTTGTGCATGGAGGAGAAAGGCTGGGTGAAACTCTGTACTCTTAATTATCAAAGCACAAATTCTCTGCTATCTGTTCTGTGAAAGGCAAACAATTTGTTGCAAGCTATTTTGGTCTGAGGCCTTCTAGAGAGGTGTGATCTAACATAAGGTATCAGAGAAGTTCTAAAGTTAACTCCCACTGAGTTGGAGAAAAGCTCAGAGGGAGTTTACATCCTAGTAAGGACTTGTTCAAACTTCTAGAGAGCTGCTGTTTTTATTTGTGCCTGGCTCCATTGGGGTCTGCCTTACTGGCAGAGAGAGAACAGTTCAAACCTGTAGGCTTGGAAAGGGAGGCTTGAGAAAGGATCTTATCAGCACTGTTTCAGGTCATTCTGAGACAGAGGATACCTAATGATCACTGAAAGAGTTACCTTTCACTTCACTGAGGAGTGCAGGCAGGTACAATAGACATGTGGTGATTTTCTGCTGATTGCCAGTCAGGACCCAGCTTCCACTGGGAGACCTTTGGGTATCTTCCAGGAGTAACCTAGCCCTGACTTCTCAGTTTTCACTAGTTCCATGCAATGAGAGATCTGTCTCTAGAAAGGAATCCAGCTGCTGCCCACCTGATCAACCTTCCATCTGCCATTGGCTCTGATGGGGATGAGGATTCACCAGAGGGTACTCGGAGAAAATTCTCCTCTGCTTTCATGAAAGTGATAGCAGCCCTAAAGGTGATTACTGGCTGACAGAGTAGCCACTGTTTGTCTTAGCCTTCATAAGAGACAGATAAAACCTGAGCTGTCTTTATCCAAGATGATTTCATAAAAGACCCATTTTACAGCATTTTGTAAATTTACTTATAGCTACTATTAAATTCCAGTAGGTGGTGCCCTAACATTACTTTGCCTTAGTGCTGTCTAAAAATAGTCAAGCAATTAATATAAAACAGAATCATAAGGGCTGGGTGTATAGCTCAGGGGCGCCACACCTGCCGGCAGGCACTAGTTCTTGAGTTGAATCCCTGGTACCAAAACACAAAACAAAAAAAGTAGAAACATAAAATCTTGTCTGTAAAAGTAAAACATCACTTTGAAGAAACATGATAATCATTTTAACAAATGTCAATGTATAAAAAGTCAAGGAAGAAAACAGTTTGCAAAAGCAGGACATAAAATTCAAGCAGTAGGTTTGGGAGTTGCATCTCTTTCCCATATATTACTCTCACCCTGTCTGGAGAGAAGCCAGGATAGTATTCAGAAAGGAGAGCCCAAGGAGAGAGAGGCCAGACACCAGCTCAGCTCTGGGCTTCCTTCCACTGACGGCTGTGGCTTCTGGGTCCCACAGGGCACTCAAAATGGCTCACAAAGCAGAGCTGGCTGAGTTAGAGCACAACTACAGAGAAGCCCTGAAGGCCGAGAAGTCAGCTGCCCAAGGGAAACTAGGTACTTGGGGCCATGGAGCAGCTGGGGTGAGGGTGTCGCCAGGGAGGCTGTGGCTGTGGGTGAGGGGAGCAGGCTGTGGGGTGGGCACTGGACTGGAGGAGGAGACTGAAAGAGGAAGGACCCTGTCTTCCCAGGAGGCCGGAGCAAGCCCCTCAGCTGTGTCTCCTCTCCCGGTCTGTGAGTCTGCCCTCTCCCTTGTTCCACAGTATATTTTAAGGTTTACAAATAATCACAACTCTTAATTATACCTTGATGATTTTTCATTTTCTAAAGAGAAAATGTGTTGTTTTCACAGTCAGTGTAAATCAGGAAATGGTATTAAAAAGAGAAGCCAGTGCCCTGAGCTCTGCAGGGAGCTTTGGGTTTTGGAGGGAGTTCTGGGGGATGTGTAGGTTGGGATGGGACCTAGGCATTCAGGTATTTGAAGGGTGTTTGCTTGTTTTAATTTTTTGCTTTTGGGGGTTTTGTCGTTTTTTGTTTTTTAACACAAGTTCTTACCATGTAGCCCAGGCTGGCGTTGAACTTGTGCTCCTCCCGCCTCAGCCTTCCAAGTACTGGGACCAATAACTGCTATGTCTGACAGTACATGAGCTCTGATAAGCTTCCAGGGTAATTTCTGGGACAGCCAGAGGTTTCACCGCCGAGGCAGTGATGACTGGCGAACCTTTCAGAGCTGCTGGTGATGCAAATAGGCCGCCACCACTGGCCCAGGGGAAAAGTTGGAGTAGGAGCTGTGCAACAGTGCACACTTCAATTTAAATGTGCAGGTCACATGAATGAAGATGACCCTGTTGTCACTTTCCTTTTCTCCAGAGGAGATGCAGAAGGAATACAAGTATTTGAAGAACATGTTTCACATGTACCAGGTGAGTCAGAGCAGTGCACTGGGTTCTGAGAGTGAGAGGGAGGCTCGCTCCTGGCCGGGAGCAGAGATGGCCAAAGCTGGTGTGTGGGACCCAGGGTCTCTGGAGTCAGTGGCCACTAGGCACTGGCACACTCAGGGAGAAGCCTGACCTCAGGGGCCACCAGCCCTAGGAGGCAACTGAGAAATATACCTGTGCTTGTGAAAACAATAGCAGGTGATTGAGTGTCATAGACAGAAATAACCAACAGCAGCAGCAACAACAAGAAAGGAATTCTCTGCACAGAGACAACCTCTGTGAACATTTGCACTTTGTGAAAACGACCTGAGACCCTGCGTTGTTGACTCTATGGTTTAGTTTTGTTGTTGTTTTGCAGTACTACCAGGGCCTTTGCACTGAGATATAGCCCCAGCTATTTTTATTTTTTATTTTGAGACAGGTTCTCACTAAGTTGTAGCACCCAGACCTTGGCCTTCCCTTCTCAGGTTCAGACCACCTGAGCCACCAACAGGAGTGGCACTGGCTTCATGTTATTTAACCTGAACCACAAAAAGAAGTCACATACTCTTGTGAGGCTGAGGCAGGAGGATTGCAAGTTTGAGTTCAGCCTGGACAATGGAATGAGACCTTGTCTCAAATTAATTAATTAATTAAAGAAGTGGAAATAGAGTTCAGTGCGAAGGCGATGAGTTCAGTCTGAGCATGCAGAGAAGGAAAAGAGAGAAAGGGAGAGAGAGAAGAGAAAGATTTGCTGAGAACAAAATGGTCCTTCTACAAGATGCCATTGTTGTCTGAGCATCATAGACTGCACATCTCAATCTACTCATTAAAATAACCTCTTCCGTTGTAAGGAAATGTTGATTCCAGTTAATAGGGACTAAAAATCAGGAGACTAAAATCAGGATATCCTAGCAGCCAGCTGGGGAAAGCCAAGCTTATCGAATCTGTGAGTGGATGGGCTGACACTGGGAGAGAGCTAGCAGCAGCTGGCTGGGAGAGATTTCATCTGTGAGGGGATGGACTGACACCAGCAGAGACCTTAGCCGCTGGCTGGGAAAGGAACTAGGCTCATACAGGTACAGAAGGGCTGAGGAATCTGGGGTGAGATGTGGAGGACTCGATGCCCCAGGGCGGTCTGTGCAGGTGTGGACACAGTTACTGGACCTCTCAGTGCCAGAAGGGTTGTGTGCTGCGTTCTGAGCCCATTCGCCCTATTTACTGTGCAGCTGCTGTTGTTGGCCGAAAGCAGCCCGTGTGCTTTGTCCTGCTGTTTAGGGCAGGCCTGGCCCTGAGCTCCAGGGATTCCCCTCCTTCCCTCAGTGCTGTGGAAGAGGGTCGGCCATGGCGAGCTGTGGGTGGCCCCGGGAGATACCCGAAGTGGGAGGGGAGGTGTCGGCCGGCCCCTCTCCACCCTCTCCACACGGCTCCTCTGCAGGACACCATTCACGATGAGATGGAAGACAAGTGGTCCCAGCGAAACGCAGAGTGGGCGGAGGGCGAGAAGATGGAGCGGGAGAAGATCCTGCTGCAGCACAGTGAGTACAGAGAACCCCGCTCCCGGTAAGCAGGCTGCAGGCTCCGCGTGGAAGCTTGATCTCAACCTGAGCAGCATCTGGATTTCACCGGGGTAGAGATCCAAGTGCGGGACTGCACGGTGAAGGTGCCTGGACTCATCCCACGCAAATGATGGCTTTGGGGCAGGGCTTGTGTGTTTTTGGTTTGGGGGTATTTTCTTTCTTTTTTTGAAACAGGGTCTCACTGAGTAGTTCAGGCTGGCCTCAAACTCGGAGTGATCCTCCTGCCTCAGCCTCTAAGTGCTGGGATTTATAAGCATGCACCACCAGGCCCAGACAAGGGGTTGGCTTCTTTTGAAATCTAGACACTTGCAACAAGGGATCTAGGCCTGTATGTTCCAAAACTGGCCAGTTCCAAGTTTGCCCATCATGGACTGGAGCAAGAGTTATTAAATTAAATTGTGGCATATTTACTGGTGGGGGCGGGAGATCACATGCCTTTCCTACTTGGAGCCTCCACAGCCTTACACTCCCACGGGTAGCCACGTTGATGCGTATTTTAATGTTTCCCACGCATAACCCAGAGTTTGCTTATCCAAAGGGCCTCGCAGGTGCCCCACTCCTGGGTTAGAGGAGGAAGGGGAGTGGTCTCCGTGCAGTCCACTCCAGACCAGGCAGCAGCTGAGGTGGGAGTGGGCCCTCTGCAGACCCAGTCCACTTCCCACGCCACCTCACACCTCTTACTTTTGGTTGGTTAAAACTGAGTTATTCTTTTGACAACAGGGAGATCTGGGAAAGTCAGGCACTCTCCGCCCTAGGACCAAGGAGGTGGAGCTGCTCAAACAGCCTCACCTAGAGTCTTGGTGTCCCAGAACCAGGCCACCTCCCGACTGCTCGCTGTGCAGTGTGTCTCCTGTTGCCCACGTCTAAGTCAGGGCACAGCCTCTGCTGTGGGAAGGCGGGGCTTAGCGACTGACCGAAGAGGAGTCCTGCTGGCCCTCCTGCTCGCCCAGCCCCTCCTCCACCCGCTCAACACCACTTGCTGACTGCCGGACTTCCCCTGGGGAGTCCACTGGTAGTCAACCCCCACTGCAGCCCTAGGGCCAGAATGCATTTCAACGCTGGAGGAATCAGGGTAGCTGAGAGAAAAAGATGTCCAAGAAAGCACAGTGTTTACTTAGGAGAGGGAACAGATAAAACAATAAGCAACAGATCCGAAAGAGACGACACCAAAATGATGAGAGATGTTGCCAGTAGGCCCCACGTGTCAAGGGTGTGAGCGTGGCCCCTACTGAGCTTCTTGAGGCAGCTGTCCTCCGCTCCAGGCTGCCAAGACCTCGGGACCACCTGGCTGGGAATAGCTTTTCCTCAGATATCTGAGTTTCTCTCCGCTCCAGCTTCCCCATGTTTATACACAGATGTGCTTTTTCCTCACCTCCACAGAATACAAGATGACAAAAAAGTTTGAGTTAGAGTCAGAAGAGGAAAAGAGAAGAATGAGTGAATCCTTTAGTGCTACCTTTGAGAGCTTCGTGCATGAGAAGGAGGTAACAGCACACAAATAGCTGAGTATGTCACGCAGAACCCAGTGCTGCCCACGATGAGGGAATCTTTGGGCCTTCGTGGGCATTGGCGCCTTCCCCAGTTTTCCTGGAATATATGCAAACAAACTGACCCTCTCCCTACCGCGTCGCCACAGTGTTGGCAAATTGAAAACTAATGAACAGGGAGTGACAGAACACTTAACGTTCAGAGCCTGCATTTCCCTGCTTTGCCAGTACCCCATCTCTGAATGTCTGTCTCATCCTGGGCTGTAGATGAAGAGGTGCTGTTGCAAACTAAGCCGAGAACATTTGGTCATGCACAGCCCTCAGTAAGTAAGAGTAGCTACCCACAAAGCGAGGTGGCTGAAGGCGGGTCTTCCTGCCCACCCCCAAACCTTACTCCTCAGACCAAGTTGTGAGAAAGTGGGTTGCAGACCAAATCTTTCCAAACATATGGACATTTACCAAGCAGAGATGCATTAGCAAGTAGGTTCCAAACATTTATACCGCCAGATCTCTGAGCTTTTAGGCACGCAGAAGGCTGGCTGGCGTCAGGTGGGGTGGTGCCGCGGAGGCAGGACTGTGCCCCATCGTAAGGCAGCCAGTGCCTCTGAGATCAGGCCGGCCTCACTACCCCTCAGGTCCCAGGCAACAGATTCTTTTGCTCTTCATGAAAATGGAGAATGACTTTACAAAGTTTTCTGTAATCTGAATTTTTCACCTATGTGCACATTTGTAACCATCATGCTACTTTAGAAGCCACTAATTTCACCAATGACAGTCTACTTCTGGTATTCACTGTATTACTTACTGCACAGAATAGTAAAGCAGAGTTGGAGCATGTTATGCAGTGGGGTCCAGAGGGCTCGGTTGTGTGATGAGAAGTAACAGCTCTTTCACAGAAGGAAACAGGATCTGCACACACCCCTCCTTCCTCCTTCCTATGCTGTCCTTGGTGACTGAACAGGGGTGCCCCTCTCGTTGAGGTATAATATACTTAGAAAATCCATAGGCATGAGTATGAAGTTTAACAGGTTGACACATGTGTAAGCCTGTGTGACTAGCACTCAACTCCAGAGCTTCTTCCCAACCCAGAGAACACTTGGGTCCCTTCCGGGTGAGCTGCATCTCCGCAACCACCCGCAGGTGGATATACCACTTTAGGTTGGCTCTGCCCATTTCTATATTTCATATAAATGGAATCTTTTCGTTCTGCTCTCTTGTGAGGCAGGCAGCAGCACCACTGAGCTACATCCTGGCCCTCTTATGCTCTTTTGTGTATAGCTTTTCTTTTTTTGGTACCGGGGATCGAACTCGGGTCCTTGCACTTGCAAGGCAGGCCACCGAACCACTGAGCTAAATCCCTGGCCCTGTGTATAGCTTTTCTACCCTGAACAAAGTGTCTGTGAAACTTACCCACTTGTTTTCATATCTGCAATTTCTTCCTTTGTTATTGCTCAGTAGTATTTCTTTGTAGAAATGTATTTACCATTTTTCTGGCTTTGGAGATTTCTGGCTTCTATAAACTTTATTATACAACTATTTTTGTAAAAATATAAAATTTCTCTTGGATTTATACCTAGGAGTGCTATTGCTAGACTCTAGAGTAGTTACAGGTTTCACTTTATAGGAAATTGATGAACTGTTTTCCAAAGTAGTAACATAATTTTACTTTTGCAGCTTAAATATGTAAAATCTGGGTGTTCCACATCCTCCAAAACAGTCAGTACTGCCAGTCTTTTAATTTTGGTCGTCCCAGTGGATATGAAGTATATTTTGTTGTGGTTTTAGCTTTCATAATGACTAATAACTTTGGAAATTTTTTCATATGCTTATTGGACTATTCATATGTCTTTTTGTGAAGTATCTGCGCAAGTCTTTTATCATTAGAAAAAATATAAGATATGATATATAAGTACTTTCTGCACGGTGGGTACAGATACACATGTTGCAGAGTGTGGCTTCCAGCCTGTGGCTGCCCTTTTCATTTTGTTAATAGTCTCTTTCAGTGTGTAGAAAGTTTTAGTTTTGATGAAAGGCAAATTATCAATCTCTTTTTTGGTTAAAGCTTTTTGTATTTTCTTTGCCTATGTCAAGGCTGTGACGGTGTTTTATTTTTTAGAAGCTTTATAATTTTACTTTTTTTGATTCTGTAATCCATTTGAATCATTTTTCTGTGTGGAGAGAGGTACAGCTCATGAATCACCTTTTCCCACATGAATATCCTGTGTTCTGGCACCATTATTTGGAAAACCTTTCCTTTCCCCCATTGAGCTGCCTAGGTCTCTCTCCACTCTGGTCCGTTCTGCTGTTTGTCCACACTTTCTCCAACAGCACATTGCCTTAACTACTGTAGCTTGAAACCAAGCAGTGAAGATCATCTAACTTTGCTACTGTTCTCCAAGATTGTTTGTGATTTCTACATCCTTTGCATTTTCATGTAAATTTTAGAACTAGTTTGTCAAGTTTGAAGTACTTCTCAAGAAAGTCCTGGTAGCATTGGGCGTGGTGTTGCATGCTGCTATTCCTAGCACTCTGGAGGCTGAGGCAGGAGGATCACCATAAGTTTGAGGCCAGCCTGGGCTACATAGTGAGTTCAAGCCCAGCCTCAATTACAGAATGAGACCCTGTCTCAAAAAAAAAGAGAGAGAGAAAGTACTGGTATTTTGACAAGGATTACATTGAAAATGAAGACCAATCTGTGCAGAATTGAATTCTTCTCAATATTGAATCTGTACAATGGTTTAAGAAAAGCTTTTGATGAAAATGTCATTTCTTTTAATATTTGTCAGTCTGATAAGTTTGATTTTCATTATTTAACTTCAAAATCATATATACGCTGTAATATGTGTGTTATAATACCAATGTCTAACCTTTTGTAAATATTACACTTGTGTATCCTCTACTGGTTTTCTTAATTCTCTAAAAGAAAATCCAGAACCACAGTGCTGACCTTGTCCAAATAAAAATGTTTTTAGGAGCTCTTGAAGCAACATGAAAGGGACACCAAGCAATTACAAGAGATGAGGAAGACCAAAGAGGTAAGCTTTTCATTCTTCCCTGTGAAAGAGTAATTTACAAACATCAGTAAAATGATACAGGAAAGTGGAATCTATAATAATTTTCCCAAAACCAATAAAAATGGCAGACTTAAGGTTAAATATGCTAGATTTAATAACTTGGAGAGGATTTTAGAATTGTCTGTAAAGCAAAAACAGTTCTGCCTTTCTGCGAGCCAGCTTTGAACTCTATATCACCAATTTACTGCATCATCATCAATGTCAGATAACTTTTATTCCAGCCACACTTAAACCACAGAAGCACCTTAGATTAGCAAATGCTCACTCTTCCCTTTGCACTCTGCATAGTGCAAACCTTCCCTTGCCTGTCTGCAATCTCCAGGTGAACCTCACACATGACAACTTCTCCATGGGACTCTGTTCTGCTGGGACACACAGGGCACTTTGTGAGAACATCTAAAGAGAAGCAGTTCAAACCTACAAAGTGTTTTGTGCTCCTTTCTTCACTGAGAATTTAATCTGAATCTGGAATGGACATGTTTAGGAAGGGAGTAGTCATCATGAAGAGTGATAAGGAAGGATATTTTAGGGCCAATTTGGGGCCAGCATTATTGAGAAGCAAACAGACCGCAGTGTGTCCTACAAGGTAAAGGGATTGGCTTTGCAGTTAGGTAGACCTAACCTAATTTCTGCTTTAATGAACTTGTCATGTTTTAATGACTAATTCTATCACTTGTATAATTTTAGGGTCTATGAAATGATTTTTTCCTCATTTATGGTCATATTTTCTTATTTGTAATTCTTATTGGATATCAGCCATTGTGGACTTTTCCTTGCTAGATGCTGAATATTTTTATATTCCCTTAAATATTCCTGAGCTTTGTTCTGGAATACAGTTTAGTTACTTGGGAACAGACTGATCCTTTCCAGACTTACTTTTAAACTTTTTAAGTCAGAATTAAAGCTTCTTACTGTAGTGCTAGATTTTCCCTAAAGCTTCAGCTTAATTCCCATAACTTCCATATCTTCTTCTCCAGGACTCCCTGAAATCTGGGTAGAAGACTCCCTGACCATATAACTCTTATGTTCTGTATCACTGAACAACCAGCATCATGTGGATGACACCAAGGTTGGCTGCTATCTTGAGCAGTAGCCAGGCCCCCTTGGTCCATTGCTGCCATGGCCTGTGAGTGCCTGGATGGCTGAGCATAGTGAAATGAAACTTGGGAGCCAGTTTCCTGGGAGACACTTCTTGAAAAGGTGACCCAGGAGCCCTCTTTCCAAATAAAAGGTTTATAGTTTTTGCAACCTTGAACCAGCAAAGGGTGGGGTCTTGCTGATTCTTGAGATGCCCTCAAGGCATCTTTCTTCTTGTCCCAACTCAATGTCTTTCATTTCTTTTCTTTTTTCTTTTTGGTACCATGGATATAGCTCAATGCTTGAGAGGCTGGTGCAGCACCACTGCGCTAAACCCCCAGCCCTCCTTGATTTCTTTTTAACAATATTAATCTCTTCAGCAACCACACCTCCTTTGGCCAAATTTACAGGTCATTCTTTCTGGGCCCAAATTTAAGTTTTAAAAATACTTCTGCTCTGCTTTTTGCTCCCAATTCTTACTGTATATCTAGTAGAAACAGGAATTAGTCCCCAAGCCACAACCTGAACACTGGGCTGCCTTGGAATTTCCCCCATCAGATGGTTACAGTGTGGCATTTGAGTTTGCTCAGAAGATATGGGACAGGGAGCCCAGCCTGCCCAGAACCACCAAACAGTTCTCACAGTGGCTCAGTATCCCACAGTCCCACAAGAAGCAGTTTAGGTAAAGGAAATGAGACTGTCTTCTGAAATAGATCCATGGGAGACTTATATTCCATGTCCAAAAGTGTGTTTATTTCCTGCTAGACCAAAGGCAGCACCTGGATCTGGAAGCATTCCACTGCAACCCATGTTGCCCTGTCATGTGGCTGGTGTCCACTGTTGTCATAAGTGCTGTCATAGGGCAGGAAGCATAGAGAGTTCTCATATCTCACACACACATTCACCTGCCCCCATAGTTTCCCCTTTTATTAATATCTTATATAGGGTTGTATTATATGGCCCTATAGAGTGATACATCCATACAGTTAACAGCCAATACTGATGCATATTATTGGCCACAGTCCATAGTTTACATTCATTTCACTGTTGTGCACTGTACAGCGGGATCTCCCTACAGTGTGACGTCTTATCCACCTCTGTGACATGGGGGAATTTCACTGCCAAAAAGTGCCCTGTGCTCCATCCACCTTGTCATCCCTCATTTCCCCTCCTAACTTTTGGAAATCACTTATTCATTTATTTATTGGTCCCAGGAATTTCATCTTTTCTGGGTGTCAGATAGTTGGAATCAGTGGTAGGCATGTAGTAAAGACGTTTAGTGCAAGGATAACCATTATGACATCTACTGCAGCTCTGATGAGAAGTGGCCCTGCAGCGATGATGGTGAGCTGCAGGGAAGGGACAGACTGTGAGACAGAGAGGGCACGGTGCCTGGCTGTCTGGGCAGGGGGCAGGAGAAGGAGGAGCTACCTTGGCATGTGCTTTCTCATCCTGGGGTCCTAGAAAAGAGAATAAACAGGCAGGTGTCCGCATGGTTCCTGAAAATTTCTTTTGTGCAGATCATAGAGGAAGAGTTACATGCACAAGCGCTTATTCTGGAGTCACTCAACACAAACCTCTACCAAACTCAGCTGGAACTCCAGAAAGAGGTGAGTCCTGGCTGGGGCGAGCTGGGGCTGGAGGATGCAAAGTGTCTTGCTGTGCCATCTGGTGACTGCCCTGGATATCTCTGGGGAAGTCAGCTACCAAAATATGTTTTTCAGAAAGCTGCAGTGGGAAGCCTGGAGAAAATGCTGCAGAACAAGCTTGCTGAGGTTGAAGACAAGTACAAGTGTACCATACAGAGTCTTACGGAAGAAAACATTCATCTAAGGTGCGGGTGCTGCTGCCCAGATGGCTGAGCCACCCCAAAGTGAGGAATGAGTGAGGAAGATGAACCAGGTGCTCTTCAGGGAGGTCTGCCACGCCCAGCCAGATGCTTTTTGCATCTCCTGCCCAAGTCACGCTACTCACTGGGGACGTGTCCAGGCCTCTCCCCTGCACTGTCTTCCCCCCCCCTTCAAAACGACACAGGAAGTTCATCTATAATTTCTGAAATTACTTACTTCTGTGTCTGAGTGTTGTTTTTTAGGTCCATCTTTCCCGAGGGTTTGGTGGCTTCCATGTTAGTGATTTACCCTTGGACACAGCTGCTTCTGGATCCTACCAGCCAACTTCAGATGTCCTGTTACCTGAAGATACATCTGAAACCATTCAAAGAAATTGTGGGCAATATTTTACTATGGGAAGTGTATTCATTGAGTTGATTCAGTAGAAAATTCTTCATAGGAGAAAGCAAAATAATATAGTCACTGTGTAAATCAGTACTGAGGCTCTTCAAAAACCTAAAATTAGAGGTACCATCTCATGCAGTTACACCACTCATTGGAATATTCTCAAAGGAAGTAAAATCAGAATACTGTAGAGATACCTGCATACTCGTGTTTATTGTGGCTCACTCCACAATCACTAAGTTATGGAATCAGTCTAGTGCCATCAGTAGATGAATGGGTAAAGAAGAATGTGTTATAAACATGTACTGCGGACTATTACACTGTCAAAAAGAATAAGAGGCTCAAGATGGCAGATGAGAAACGAGCAGTAGAACACAGCCTCTCCGGGACCTGGAAACAAAACATTTGGAAAATTACTTAGTGAGGAGAGAGAACTCCAGAGATCAAGAAAAAGCCAACAGGAAAGCTAGCCATCATAGAGAAAAGGAAAAGAAGCAGTTTGGAACCCCGCTCCTGGCGTGGGAAGACTTCGCTGAAGAAATAGGTGCACCTGGGCAGGCGGCCCTGGAGATAACGGATCTGCAGCACTGGCCCAAGAAAAAGTCATGGTCATATTAAGTTGCAAATTCATTGTGGGGTTTTACTGGCACAAGAAAAAATCCACCACAGTGTGGTCGAAACTGGAGTCATTTGACAGGGTCTGTGGTCCAAGACTGAGCTCCTCTGGGATCCAAGCCACAGACCAGCCGCAGACACGCGGAGACGGCTTCGGGGGCAGCCTGGAAAGATGGAGCCCGAGCAGCACGACCCGGACCGGGACTGCGGGCGTCGGGCGGTGTCCAAGGCCAGGCAGAGCGCAGTGGGCCACGGGG